ATTCAGGTAGGGGAATATTTATAAAAATATGTAGCATGCAACTACTCACCTAAAAACGGAACAATGTAATCCTCGAGTAGAGTATAAGAGTCCAATTTAGTGCCCTGAACTAAGTATGAAAACTACACGTCACTTCTAATTTAAAAATACTAAAGAATAAGAAATAAGTAACCCCAAACTAAAGCGCACTAACACGGTTCAACCCAACTCACCGTTGTTTGGAAATGGTTGAAAATTATGGGTAAAACTAGAATTTTTTCCTAAGTTTGGTCTATTTTTTAGGTGGGCCCCGTGCATCGATTTTGCTGCATTATTTTCTTGTCAGAGAGTATAAAACACTTAGTGTGTTTGTTGTACACATATATGTGTAGTGCTGCATATATTTGTTGTAGATTATTCATCCTGAGAGATAGACGTCCATATTCTGAAAGTTACCAAGGAAAGGCGAATCTGTCTTAAGGACACAGTGTCAAACACTGGACTTGATCAGAATAATATTCAACAGATTAATCAAGTAAGTTATTTATTTATTTTTTTGTTTTATTATTATTTTTATTTAAATCAGATTTTAATTTTGTTTGGTAACAAAATAAAATCAGTTTTTATTTATTTAATTCTATTTCTAGTTTGATTTTGTAATCAAACATTTTCTCTCCTTTTCTTTATTCTTCTTATATTCTAGTTGTTGTTTAGTACACAACAGAATTTAATCTATTTAAATACAATGAAGAATGTCCAACAACTGTTACTCTTAAATATTACCCAAGCTCATGTTCTTCAAGGTCTTAAAATCACCCAAGACATGGTTCAAATCGAAACTTAATTAAAAGTAACTTTAAAATAAAACAGAATTTTAAACCAAATTTTTCCAATCTATTCGCTAACTTTGACAAATTACAAAACCCACTCCCCGCTGTTCGAAAATTCCAAAACCCTCCAGATATCAACTAATATATGCTAAGTTTCAAACCCAAACGGTTTTACTTGATTTGCTTACCAAAATAATTATTTACAATTAATTATGCCCAAATAGATATTTTTGCAGCACTTTAAAGAAATTAATGGTTTCTCTTAAACACAAGCAATCAATGCAAGGCAAAAAATGTAAGAAACTAGACTCATAACCGGTTCTAATGACGCTGATTTGATAATTTTCAGATTATACCAAGAAGAACGACACTTCCGAAGTTACTGTTTTACCCCAGTTTCTGGACAGATTTGAACGCACAGTTAATATAGATTTTGACTCCCAAAAGTTATGAGAAAATTCTGATATGCAATTCAATATGTAATTAATCTACTGTAAATTTTATTTCAAAATTCATCCATTTGATATGATTTCTTGATTGTTAAGTTTGCGATTCTATGCAGAATTTTTAGACTAAGAATTACACTTATTCTTTATACATGAATTTAACTTCTTAGATTTCTTAACAATATATATTATACACAAAATACATACACCTATGACTACACCAAACGTGAACTAGAACTATTAAGAAAACTAATTAGAGAATAGAATAAGGCTAAAGAAGAAAGCTAGAACTCTACATCCTTCACATTAATTTAACTCAGATTCCCAAGCAATATATATGGAGTCAAAATCCCTCCTTGCACTTCTTCCTTGCAGGCAATTGGACCCATCTTTAGGCCCAATTTTGATAATCGAACCGTTTTATATTTTAAGATTTTTTCAGTGTATATCATACCTGTAAAAAATCAAGTTGATCGGATATCAGAAAGGCATGTGTTCGAAACTGTTTATTAAATTTAAAAAAAAATAGTTTTTAGTTCGATTTTTCGAACACATGCTTTTTGATATCCGATCAACTTGATTTTTTACAGGGATGATATATTGAACAAATCTTAAAATATGAACGGTTCAGATTATCAAAATTAGGCCTAAAAGTGGGCCCAATGGCCCTGCAAGTAGGAAATGCAAGGAGGAAGTGCAAAGAGGGGATCTTGACTCTATATATATTGCTAGTGAATCTGAGTTTAAATTCAAGTAAACGATGTAGAGTTCTAGCTTTCTTCTTTTATCCTA